TTTTTTTTCTTTGTTTACATGAGTTGATAGTGTAGTGAGATGGTTGTACTATGTCTGTGTGACAGGTAAATGCACACACACACACACACACACACACACACACTTTAACATCTTCAACCCACACAACTGTTGTTAGTGTCAACTAAAACAATAACTAAAGTCGTTTTTGATCATTGAAATGAAGCTGAAATTATGTGTGTAATAATAATAATAATATAAAATAATTAATACATCAAATAAAATATTTGATGAAAAACGTTAAAACTACAAAAATGAGAAATGCAACTATCCAAAATAAATGTTTAAATTGAAGTGCTAAAATTGCTAAAACTAAAACTGAAAAAAATAAAAATAAATAAAACATAAATTGAAGCAAATATATATATAGAGAGATTTTTTTAGATGTAATAAAAGTGTCAAAAGCAAGTAACAAATTTACTAAAACTTATTAAAATATATTAGAAGGAAGAGTTCATTCAAAATACTAATAATTACGGTCACACTTTATTTTAAGGTTCAATTTTCACTATTAACAAACCATTAATTACAACTTTTGCCTCAGTAAACTACTAAAGTGTTACCATTATTACTGTAATAGTATATAAATAATACTAAAATAACTCGACTTGAATCCAACAGTCTTAGACTACAATGAAATTCTGGCATTTTAGTCAATTAATTGTGATCATGTGACCTTTTGTACAGACAGTGAGATGTTCTTGCTCCCATTGAAGCTCATAATGTTCTTCTGATCATTCTCAAATCGGGTTTGACACAAACTTGCATGCTGCTGTCATTAAAGCAAAAGAGAGACAAACCAAATATCAAGAGATTATGAATTCATATTAATGAATATTACATGGTAGTCAATCAGCGTGAAAAGCTTTGAAGACCACTGGTGTCCTGGGATATGGTGATTGAGTCATCGCATATGCAATTTACTGTACATACAGTACAGTACGTACATCTTTACAACCCACAGTGATGTGTGCTAACATTAGCTCTGCCTCCACTCTCTGCTCTCATTGTGACTGCATAATGTCAGGCCCTTCATTACTCATCTTCACTGGAGTAACCGGAGTGAAGCTAGGCCATTTTCTCCCTATATCTGGCCAATCAGAGCACACATCCCCGCTATTTTTGGACAAAAGACGTACAATATCAATTCCCTGAGCTGATGAGAACTAATTCTGAGCTGGCTGGTGATGCCCTGCATAGTTCACACACACACACACACACACACACACACACAGCCGGTCTTCATCAGAGCATCACAGCACTGATTTCTCCGGATTAAGCAGATATGATTGAACTGAGGTGGAGGTTTGAGGGAATTCATCAGCTGGATCCAATGAGGAGAGGTTAAACATTTCTGTTCTTCGTGACACCTGTGACTAGAGCAGCAGCGCTCTCATTACTTCTGTCCTTCCTCTGAGACCATTTATTTCAGAGCCTCTCGGTTCACCCAAAAATGGAAAACTATGACAGTTTACTCACATGCTGTTCCAAAACCAGATAAATCTCATGGAAACATTTCCATCTCACCTTGAAGTTGTGATGTAATTAACGTAGAGACAGATCTTTACTTCTATATTGTGATGAATATTATTATTATTGAAAAGATTATTGAAAAAGCAAAACATGTAGGGCGGGGCTTGATTAAATTACTCGATTGTTGATTGGATGGAGGCAGATCTGAATGTGAGCTTACAGTCGATTGTAAGAAAGGGGCGGAGTTTAAATGGACTAATGCAGTATAAAAAGTGACGTGACATGTGGCCAAGTATGGTGACCCATACTCAGAATTAGTGCTCTGCATTTAACCCATCCTAAGTGCACACACACAGCAGTGAACACACACACGCCGTGAACACACACCCGGAGCAGTGGGCAGCCATTTATGCTGCGGCGCCCGGGGAGCAGTTACGGGTTCGGCACCTCAGTCGTGGTATTGAAGTTGGGAGAGCGCTGTACATTCACTCCCCCCACCTACAATTCCTGCCGGTACGAGACTCGAACCCGCAACCTTTGGGTTACGAGTCCGACTCTCTAACCATTAGGCCACGACTTCGGCCACGACTTTGGTATACGTCACCAAAGAGAAATTTTAATGGATCGAATTATGATATTTTGATTAAACATTACAAGATCAACTTAAAAAATAGAGACAATTGTGAATAATTTATAATAATACAAAATAGCATGCATTTAGAAAATGCCATTTCATGCAGACTTTAAAAAAGGCGAAAGAATACAAATGAAAATAAATATTTTTAGGACCAAATATTAATTAAGGTGATGCATCTGGATGTTTTCCTTTTTTTTTTTTTTTTGTAATTCCCATTTATTCTAAATATAGATTTCATTATAGTATTTTGTCTATAATACCTGAAGAATGCTATCTGTTATCATTCTTTTTAGTCAGTATAACCAGTCCAAAGTACAACCAATACTACCATGATGTAAAATACTTTCAATTGTATTTTTATTTAAACAATATTATTTTTATTTTATTTTATTTTGTTTTTTTGCATTATACTAATAATAATGATTTGTCATTAAAATTACAATGTCACAAAAAATAAAAAAGTGAAATATTGTGGTACTACAAATAGACTTTGTTTTCTTTAAGCAAAATTTTTATTTATTTTTATTTTGGGCTCATACGACACAGGCATGTATAAACGAGGTTTTGTGAGATTCACCCACCCAAATAAATCATTTTTTTCTTTTTCATTAAACAAAAAAGGATATAGCCAAAATATGCGAGAGGCTTCAAACACCGGTCCCCATGAGCCAACAGCTCCTGTATGTCCAACTGCGCCATAAAACAACATTCAACAGCGTCAGTTTTGAGGAGCTACTCCTTTAAATAAGTGTGGGAGATGGCAGGGTGCAGCTGAGGACAGAGGAGCTCAATTCGGCCCATTATTATACAGCTCATTTGGTCACGTCATGAAAACTCACACTTACAACATATATGAATCTGCGTCTGTGGGATCCACAGGGACGTGTGTGTTTGAGTCACAAGATGCTCAGGGCATCTGGTTGGGTATTTTTCATTTAGGGATATCAGCTGAGGTGAGTCAAACACAATGTCATGTCATATGAGTTTAGTGACTCAGCATCTCATTTGATTCTATTTCTGCCTATACATGTGCTTTTTCATATCTCTGTTTTTTTATGGCTCTTTCTCTCCCTCCTTCTGTCTCTCGTCTTTCTGGCTCTCTTCTATTGGCCTGTCAGTTGATTAGATAATGCAAATACATTATTTATAACACTTCACTCCTTCTCAGGCCTTTATGGGATGCCTAGCAACCAGGCAATTGTATCATATGGTGCAAGAGAGCTGATAATGAGACATAGAAGCAGTGTTAAGGCCATTTCATATGAGACGTGGCATGCATTAAAATCAGTCGAGGCAGAACGCACTTCACGCTTTCAACAGGCTGATGTTGCTTTGGTCATCATGCATTTGCACCAAGTCACCATGTTGTAACATGTTGAATTCGGCCTGCTAGGATCCTTTAGGATGCGTTATTGTATTTTATATTATGGGAACCACTTGGTTTGCCTGCACATTCATTCCCAAACTCACAAGCCAAAAAAAGATCTAATCTAATTACTTTTTTTTTGTTAGAATAATATTTGCAATTTAAAATGCATTTTTAAAAGAGGTCACGGTTTGCTGTGCTTTTTTTGTAGGGATGCTTTGCACAATTTGGCCAAAAAGGTTGTGATTATGCATTAATATAATTATAAAACAACAACAACTATTATTAATATTATTATACAAAGTAAGAAATATGAGGACTGTAATAATATTATTTTAGTGTAAATTAAAAAGTTAGTATTTTAGAAAATAACAATAATTTTACAGTCAAAAAAACAATTTGGTGAAATTACAATTCTAATATTTATGTTTTTAATTTCTTAATTTGCGAATGGGGCAGGGGGATCTAATTGAGATTTTTGTGATACAATTTGTGATTTAAAATGTATTTTTAAAGAGCTCCAGATTGCTTTGCTTTTTTGTAGGGCTGCACAATTTGGCCCCAACATTTTTGATATTATGTCAATATAATAATAATAATAATTATTATTATTATTAAATGAAAAATATTAAACAAATTAAAAATATTACCATTGTAATATTTCACTGTACAATTAAAAATGGAAATTATTTTAAAAATAATAATAGTTTGATATTACTGTAACATTACAATAATAATATTTATATTTTAATTTCTTCATTTTCAAATATTAAACCATCTACCTTTTATTTTGGCCAAAAACTGCACTGAGTGTTTCCTTTGTTGGCAACAGGTTTATAAATGTTTCTCATTACAAATCTGATTGCGTTCCCAAATGCATATTATAAGCGACCCAAAGAGCAGAGCAAATGTAGAGATGAATTCATGTGGAGCAACATTTACTGCAAACCGACTTGCTCTGAAAGACTGAAAACACTGGATTGTGAGCTGCACATGTGGAAATTAACACAGTGCCGTGCTTTGCTTTGTCATGTGGAAATTAACACAGTGCCGTGCTTTGCTTTGTGAATGAATATTTTTATCGTAGTTGCACCAAGTCATAATACGATTCCAGGTTTATTTCGATTAAAGAAACAACAAGGAGAATACAGGTCACTGCATGAAATGTTCTGGCTGCTGTGTTTTTCTGTAAATCTAGCTGTGTGTTTACACATGAATCAGTGGGGTATCTGTGTTTATCTGCTTGAAAACACATGAATTAGTGTTTGTACTGTGTGTGTGTGTGTGTATTTTCTGTCTAGTAGCTGACACTTGTAATCGTAGCTGGTCCCAGCTGGATAGGATCAGTATCCCGTTGGATTACAGTGTTCAGATGCAGGGCTGTGACCCTACGTCAGTTCTTCAAGTGGCACCTCTACATCACTACATAAAACTGAGCTCTTTTATGTCCACATGTGCCAGCCTCAAGTCTATTTACATTGTAAAACCGCCAGCTTGTGCTTTGCATTTCAGTCCTCCAGGTAGAATCACCAGTACAGCCTCTTGCTGAGCTGCGATTGGTCCACGGGCCTGTCAGTCAGTGTATTCCTGCAGCTGTGTTATGATCGTTCTTTCAAAACATGCTCTGCCTGTGGCTGCTTCTTTCACTTGTGTATGTGAGAGCCTCATTTCCTGCCTCGCTTTTCACTCTCCCCAGCGGAGTCATTCTCCTCTCTGATGTGCTTTTGAAGTGCCTGCATAATCAGCAGTCATGTGCTGCCACCCAGAAATACTACTCTGCATTGGTGTGTGTATGTGTGCTGAAAGAGGGGACGATGAAATGTAATTGCAATGAGTAAATCATGCTGTTGTTTGCAGGATTAGGGAAAGTAACACAATTTAACTCTAGGCATACACACCAACACACACTGCTGTTCTAAACACACTTTGCATGCCATACCGTTAATTTACAATATAAATTACATTGAGATTTCAGATTCAAGAAGCTTTATTGGCACGGGGGAAAAGGCTACACGTTGTCAAAGCATTAGTAAATATGCATATATGCAATTTTACAAACAGAGTGCAGTCCATGATTTATAATAAATGGTTTTAGTTCATTTTCCAGGAAATTAAGACTGTACATTTTATAAGTGTAATAGTAAGCTGCAAGGATGTATGTACATGTACTGTATGTGTAGGCCAACAAAAAAAGCAGTAAAGCCATGCTTTACTGTTTGTACTACATGAACCTCAATATTCATCAACCTTTGTCCATTTTGATATATTTTTATATTTGTCCTCTAAATGGCTTAAAAGTATTTTTTCTTTCCCTTCAGATAAACCCCTTTTTTTAAAAAGAGCCTTTTACACGAGTTTTCAACTTAATATGTAATAGTTTTTATGTGTTTTGGCTATTTATTTACATGACAACAGTGTTTTGGGGCCCTGAAGACGCAAACGTTTGAAAACAGGTGAAACATATGACATCATGCGCATGCATTTTACGTGTTCAGCCTATAGGAATGCATAAGTTTGCAGGGGCATAGTGTTGCTTTATACAAAGTGACATCTCCAACTACTGGCCTGGCATGAATAATACAGCATTTTTAGTTCTGTCATGACAGTTTTGCATGGTAGTATACATGGCAATGTTAATGTGTTTGGTCTTGGCAGAATAGATCTGCTATGCTACTGCTGCTGCAAGTACTGAGACTTGCTACTGCCAATACATCCACAGATGTGCTGCTGTGAGCATGTAAGAAATACTGCTGCTGCACATATAACATACATGAAAAAAAAAAACATATATAACACATGAAATTACCTTTTGCAGATCTAGACAGGTGGAGCTGGGGAAGGTGGAGGGTTTCTAAAGCGCTTTATAACTGCTACAGCAAGTACTAGCCAAGTATTTGAATGTTGAGCAGCAAGCTCATTGGCTGCTGATGCGAAAAAGAAAACAATCAGCTGTGCCACGTGAATGATGATGTGATTATATCAGAACGATTCAGAACCTATCGGCCTGTACCATCTAGAGTTTCATGACAGAATTTTGTATTCTTTTTCGTGGATCTGTGTGAATAGAGATGTTTTTGACAGTGTTGTGGTCTGCTTGCGAAACTTTTGCAAAATGCAAAGAAAAAATGTTTCCATTTACAGTACGTTATTGTTGTGTATTGTTGTGTAACCTGAAACAGTTTTGTACTGATTACAAGTTTAAAGCCCCATTCACACCAAGAACGATAAAGATAACGATATTAGCGTCCACACCAGCGGACGATATCGTCTGTAAGCGCACGCTCATCTGCTGTTTTAAATTCTCGAGCTCGTTATAGCAGGATTGATTCCGATTGGCTGTCAATGTTTTTATCGTTCATTAGCTGGAAAAAATCGTTCTGAAAGTGATTCCAACGATATCGTTTCTCTGTGCCTTTATCGTTATAGCTGTGGTGTGGACTCTGCTATTCTTTAATATTGAGAACGATTTTTAGAACTATATCTTTATCGTTATCTTTATAGATATCGTGCTTGGTGTGAACGGGCCTTAACACTTTCCACTTTACCCATACAAACACTTTTATGTATAGAGTTATGTGTAACATCAGCACACCATCACAAACTCCCCGCACTCATGTTTTTCTTGCCCACAAAACAAGTCAAACGTTCAGTTCTGTAAAAATACGTCATTACACAACAGAAAGAAAAAAAAATAGCTTTCTCCCTCTCTTCCTGTCCACAGGGGAAGTTGTTGGTGCGCACAGGCCGCGTGGGTCTCGGGGAGAAGATGCTAAGGGACGCGATACAGGTGGAGAACACGGCACACGAGGCCTGGAGCGGTCTAGGGGAGGCGCTGGAGAGCAGAGGCAGCGCACAGGCTCCCGACTGCTTCCTCACCGCATTGGAGCTGGAGTCCAGCTGCCCTATACGGCCCTTCACCATCATCCCACGAGAACTCTGACACGTCTCTCACACTCATACACGTGTGTATGAATGACTGGAGCGAATGCTGTTCTTCAATCACTTTAATGACACATACTGTATAACAATAACATTGCACGTTTAGGCTTTTTACTCCAATGAAAGGGAATGGTCTAAAGGTGTGGTCAGATTAGTGAAATATCAGCAAAATTTTGGGGGCAAAAAAGGTCTGTTGTCAATAGAGATGTATAAAGCATTGATCACCCAGATAACTCTTTCAAACAAGCAGCTTCCTGTTGTTCAGCTCTGGAAATTCGCATGACCAACTCGAATATGAGCGGAAACTGGGTAGGGAACTTTTTCGACTTGACTTGACTTGAAATGACTGGATTTCGCCTGCAAAATTTCGCTAAGCAACTGTAAATGTGAACACTCATTAATTCAGTAGCTAAAGGCACATTCACATTAGTGAATTTTAATGGGCGTAAAAAGTCCATTGTGAATTGTGTATGAAGCACTGCTCAGCCAGGAATTAACTTTCAAACCAATCAGCTTTCCATTGCTCGATGTGGTGAATGCACATGAAAAACTTGAATCTGAAGAGAAATCTGCATATGGATTGTTTTTGCCCTGACACAAAATTCTTACATTTCTATTGAAATGCCAACGAATTTGAACTAGCAACTGTATGTGACCTTAAACACACTGTCACTTTCAAACCAAGCAGCTTTCTGTTGGTCAACACAGCATATTTGCGTGATCAAATTGAACACAAGCAAAATGCGCATGGGCAACTTTTTCGTTTTTTACATGAAACTTCCAGTCAAACGTCCAATCGGATTCTTATCATAATGACTAGATTTCGCAAACCCTCTTTTAGCGTTAAAAAAAGTACTGTCAGGAATTACTGAAGATGCACAGTGAAAAATTATTTTTAAAAATGAGTGATTTTTGCGGCTGAAGCAGATGCCAGATTTATGGGAGGAGAGGGTTTAAATGAATCACGCAACATGATTTACTAAGGTTTGCGGTAGTGAATTTACTGCTTTTATTTGCGCCATTTTTACCGCCCCAAAAAAGCATGTTTTAACACATTTTGCGCTTGACATGGCTGTGATTGTTGCTGCCAGCAGGAGGCGCCGCAGAGAACAGAGCGTGAGGTAGAAGGGAGTATCTATAGATTAGCATCGGCTCTGCTTGTTTACGATCTTACGCTAATTTTTCTGGTAGATTGCGTTGGTCATTGTGGAAATAAGACGTTGTGTCTGTTCTTTATTTAGAACATTGTCAGTAAATCACTTACAGAAATTTCCACTCCCATTTGTGCTTTTTTTGGGAATTGTGCTCTCGTGCTAATTTGCCTTGTTTAGTAAATCTGGCCCTTAGTCTTTCGGAAGTTAACCAAATAGCTAACATCTTTTACAGCTCCTTTAGCGTGATGAAAAACATATTAGCTCAGGGTTATGTGTAGTGTAAAAAGTCTTTATTATTATTATATAATACAATACAATGTACACACAGCACTAAAATAGCGCCGCCCTTGTGACCAAACCATAAACACAACACAGAATGACTGAACACAACTCATTTTCTTTCTAACTGCAATAGTTTTTGCAGATATGCTGCAACATGTTCAGATACCGAGTCTTGTTTCTCAGGGACAAAACTGTTGAATTCGTGACTCTTTAAATTCTTTAGTATTTATAAACCTAATAATCCTCTGTACTGTATGTTGTTTAAAAATTGTTCTTCTCATAAAGAGTTATTTTGCAATCCCAGTTTCTCTTGTATTCATTGCATATCGGTTTCAGTCCTGTAGCTCCAACCCTTTAAGATCTTATGTAATGTTTCCAGTGCTGCTGGTGAAAGCCTTGGTCTTCTTTCTCTGGGGCGGCTGTGGTTGCCTAGCAGCCGAGCCTTGTTTGAGTTTCTGGGGAGGCTGTTGGATCTTCAGCACGTGGGTCTAAAGCCTCATGGAAAACAGCACGGTGCTATTTTAGCTGGTTCTCTTTGATGACGGGATCAAGATGTTAATTAGGGAGAGCACTGAACGAACACATAGACCATTGAGTTGAGTTATGTAAGTGTTATAAGTGGGATTCTTGTTTACTTGGACACATCTACAGTATACTGTACGTTTGAGTTTCTGGGGAGGCTGTTGGATCTTCAGCACGTGGGTCTAAAGCCTCATGGAAAACAGCACGGTGCTATTTTAGCTGGTTCTCTTTGATGACGGGATCAAGATGTTAATTAGGGAGAGCATTGAACGAACACATAGACCATTGAGTTGAGTTATGTAAGTGTTATAAGTGGGATTCTTGTTTACTTGCACACATCTACAGTATACTGTACATGCCTACTGTTTCTGCTGGCACAGACGAACAAGGGTTCTTTAAATGGTATTTCTGTCATCCTCCCATTTCTTTTGTTTGAAACGGGTCTTCTGGCCTTTCGGTTTGTTTTGATATGTGGAAGTAATTCAAAACAATACAATTTTATAAAGCTTTATTTGTTTCGCTACTGCTTCTGCATAACAGTTCATGCGTTTCACAGCAGGAATAATACGTAGGTCCTATTAAATGGGTCAAAGACATGATGCTTCTGTCCATTCTAAAATACATTCATATGCAATTCAAAACTTACATTCACATCCATGTTGAGAGTTTAAATGTGAAATTATGAATTTGAGCATTTCATGACATGGAAGGCTTTCTAATGCTAAAACCCGATTTAAAAGAAAAATGTGACCAAGCTTTATGTAAATATTTAATTCAATAATTGACAGTTACACCACCTGATTTTTTTGTTAAAGATTGCATTGCTAGAATATTTTTATTAGTACATACCTAGTTGTTAAAAATGTGTTCAGGGATTCATACAAATAACATGACGTGATACATAATAACATGATATTGGCTAATGTAGTCTACCAGCATTAAGTTCTCGTTTCACTTTTAACATATTTCGTCATTAAGTATTTATTTATTTATTTATTCTTTTTCTGTTAGCGGTTGTGTCCTGCAGTTGGAGTGGCAGTGGTGATGTATGGGATTATTTGGAGAGGTTCTAACTGATAAAGTCATGCTATTTATCTCCTAGCATCAGCATGTACAGTATAATTATCCTGACCAGGCCAGCCGAGTGATCCCAGCATCCCTTCACATAACAATGTTCCTGTATGGCTCACACAGGAGAGCTGGGCTCATTATGGTGCATACATTTTGAAAGAAAAGGGAATGATTAGATGGAGGCCTTTGAAGTGGAAGACTGTCCTTTGGGATTTCCTTAGTTAATCATTTAATAGAGCAAAACAACAGGGTTCTGGAAGTAAAACTCCAGATCATGTTCTCCATAGAGAAATAATCATATAAACTTGTGGAAAATGGGCATCCTATGACCCCTTTAAAGGGATAGTTCACCCACAAATGCAAATTCTGTCTTCTTTACTCACCCTCTTGTTATTTCAAACATGTATGATTTCCTTCTTCAATTGAACATAAAAGATGAAGAATTTTCAAGAATGTCGCCACCAGTTTCAATTTCCAAGAACTTCTAAATATTTAATTTTTGTGTTCCACAGAAGAACGTCATACAGGTTTGGAATGACATGAGGGTGACAAAAGAAGACAGAATTTCCATTTTTTGGGTGGAGTATCAATGTGCCTTCAATTTGTCTCTTCAAAGTCAAGTTCTTCCACACCAAACTTATCCAACCATGTCTTTATGGACCTTGCTTTGTGCCACAGTCATGCTGGTGTAGAAAGGGGTCTTCCTCACACTGTTCCCACAAACTTGTCCAGTGGTGGCGTATTTTACACCATTCCATCCGACGCTTGGCATTGTACTTGGTGAGACTTCCATGCAGCTGCTCGGCCATGGAAACTCATTCCATGAAGTTTTTGGGCTGATATTGATGCCAGTGGAAGTTTGGAACTCTTCAGCTATGAATCAGCAGAGCGGTGGCCACTTTTACACCCATATAGTGTACTTTAGTCCATATAGTATATATAACCTAGTCAAAAAGTAATATACTTAAAATACATTTATTTCATACTAAGTATAGTTCAAATCTATTAATATATTTACTGAAATATCGCTCAAGACTTAGTGATAAAAAATTTTTAATGAAACTTTTTTTTGGAGTAATACTTGTGTACAATGCACATTTCGTAATACTGAACCTAAAATGTGACCCTGGACCACTAAACCAGTCATAAGGGTCAATTTTTTTTAAAATTGAGATTTATATATAATCTGAATAGATGAATAAATAAGCTTTCCATTGATGTATGGTTTGTTAGGATAGGACAATATTTGGCCAAGATACAACTACTTGAAAATCTGTAATCTGATGGTGCAAAAAATATATATATATTGAGGAAATCGCCTTTAAAGTTGTCCAAATGAAGTTCTTTGCAATGCATATTACTAATCCAAAATTTACGGTAAGAAATTTCCAAAATATTTTCATGGAACATGATCTTTACTTAATATCCTAGTGATTTTTGCCATAAAAGAAAAATCTATAATTTTGACCCATACAATTTATTGTTGGCTATTGCTACAAATATACCCATGCTACTTATGACTGGTTTTGTGGTCCAGGGTCACAAATGTGTTTTAATTTCACTATTGATGAGGATGATCTTTGAATAATATTGGTCTTTAAATGCATGATATTTAAAGTGTACCTGAAGTATACTTGCAATAGTTCCACTTTAGCACAATCAAATATACTTCAGTATATTTTTAGTTGGACTACTTCCGCACAATTAAAGTGCATTAAGTACACAATTAGTTGTTCCAATTTAGCAGACTTTAAGTATACCAGTTTAGTATACCTAAAGTGCAACTGCAGGGTATTGAAACTCCTGAATGTTGTATTTATGAATATCCATGATCACTGACCAATTCAGTAAAATTAATGGGAAATAAGAGAAGTTACTCTATTGCAGATCATGGTAATGCTTTTGAGGGCATCAGCACATGCAGGTCACTAAACAGCATGTTTGTCAAGTTCCTGCTCGTTTGTTTATTCTTCTGGATTGATTATGTGCTAATGAAACAAAGTGATCACCATCATGAGAAAACCTTTTCTCTCAGGTTTCGCTCTCCCAGCATTGGACAGCTCTCTGGTTACTCACAGGTGGCAGGCCAGCCCTGCTGCTCCCACTCAGACTGGGGCGGGACCCTGGAGTCATGGAAGGTCAGGTGTCCAGACTGAGTTACAGCCCTGACAGCTGGCTGCCCACTGATGGATGGAGACATGAAGGTACAAAGTTATGATGCTGGAAAATGACACAAACACAAACCCAAATAAATTTTGTGTTTCTTATGTTTTTACTGTTTATTTAAAGTAGATTTATTTTTGTGTGTTTGTGGCAGCAGGTAGGCTGTAAATGATGGACGGACAAATTTTTCAGTATCTAAATCAAATTTATTGGTGTTTAAAATGGGTCGTATAATGGCAAAGTTATAAACGTTTATAAAGTTATAAACGTGGCTGAAGTTTACTATTAGAAATATCCCTGACAGGGTTATTATAGTTAATTTTAAACTAAAACCATAAAATACATTCAATTGAATTTCATTACTTTAAATAAAATTTCAAATAAAATATAGAAAAAAATGTTTAGGTCCCACTTTATATTAGGTGGCCTTAACTACTATGTACTTACATCAATACGTATGGTGTTCATATTGTATTGCAAAACACTTTTGCTGCTATTGAGGTGGGATACGGGTAAGGTTAGGGACAGGTTTGGTGGTATGGGTAGGTTTAAGGGTGGGTTAAGGTGTAAGGGATGGGTTAACTGTAATTATAAATGTAATTACAGGAATTAATTACAGATGTAATTACATGCAGGTGTTTTAAAATGTAAG